AATACATCTGGCTTCCTTCTATCCATACTAGTCCCATTATCAAATGTTCACTTGGCCATACCCTTGATGTTTTCTGCTGAACACACTTTCTCATTTTTTACAACCTAACCAAAGTGAGAGTTCTACAATTCTGTAAATTTTGCTTCCTTTTGAAACATAAACTTCATACTTAATTCATTTTTTCTGTTCTTATATTTATTTTACTCAAGCAATCAGCAGAAGCATGCCACAGCCTCAATACTTTGCTTAGAGATTTCTTTTGCCAAATATCTAATTCATCACTCTTAAGTTCTGCCTTCTACAAAGCACTGGGATAAGGACACAATTCCACCAATGCCTTTGCCATTTTCAGCCTTTCCTCCTATTTCCAACACCTTATTTCCATCCGAAACCTCATTAGAATTGTCTTTACCATCCACTTTTCTACAAATATTCTCTTCCCAACCACTTAGTGTCTAAGAGAGTTAGGCTCTCTCTAGAGTTCTTTTCTTCTGTGTTCTCATCAGAATCAGCCCTATTGGTCCATTCATGGCACTATAGGCTTTTTCCAGCATTCACTTCCTAGCTTTTCCAGTCTGTACCCATCACCCCATGCCAAAGCTGCATCTATATTTTTAGGTATTTGATATACCAAGTTCTTGGTACCCATTTCAGTCTCAGTTCATTCCTGCTGCTTTAACAAAATAGCTTAAACTGGGTAATTTATAAAGAACATGAGTGTGTTTCTTACAATTCTAGAAGCTGGGAAATCTAAGATCAAGATACGGTGTTTGGTGAGGGCCCTATTCCTCATTGATGACAACTTGCTGTGCATACACATGGCAGAAGAAATGGAAGAGCAAAAGTAATTAAGGCACTTCCTTCATTAATTTACCCATATGGACCCCTCATGACCTGATCACCTCTTAATACATTGAGAATTAAGTTTCCACATGAATTTTGGAGGGACACAAAAATTCAAATCCAAGCCATGCCTTTCATAGGATATTTTCTTTATCCAAGTGGGTGGCCTAATACCTAGTGCACAGCCTATGAACAAGTGCCCTCTCACCTGTCCTCTCACCTCTCACATTGCCCAGAAATGTTTATACTAGAATTTTCCCTGTCATTTCTGACTTGCCCAGTTCATTCCCCTCAAGATAGCCACTCTCTGAAAGAGCTATGACTAAAAAAGAAATTAGATTCAGGTGTGTTAGGTGAAACACAGAAGAGGCAATTCAACAAAAGCACATAAAATAGCAGGTACAGTTCACAGATCCAGAGAGAAGAGGGAGCCATCTGAGACATGTACTGTCACCCAGCAGGTAGGAAGTGGGAGAATAAGCAGGAGACCCAGGGGCAAAAACCTTTCTTGGGGTCTAGAACATTACCCAGGTTAGTTTCCCACAGGGAGCTCTGGTTAGTGGGTTTGGAGCATGAAGGCATGCATTCGAAAGAGACACGTGGTGACCGAGAGGTACTCCTTGTAGTATGTCTGCTCAGTCCATGGAGTATGGTACTGTAGATTGTATCTCACCATAGGCAAGTGGTCACCAAGAGGTTGCTGTCTAAGACACATATCTAAATTGATCACTCTGAGGAACTGGAAAGAGGCAAAGAACAAGACTCTGTGTCAAGGATGACTGAGCCCTGCTCCTGGCAGGAGAAAGTTAGCCCTATACTAAGAATGCATATTGAACTAACATAAAATTGTATAAATTTACTGCGTTACATGCAGGCTTCTTACATGGCATGTGGTTTCTCCCAAAGAAAGCATCCAACAGAAACAAGTAGAAGATGCCTGGCCTTTCCTGACCTAAGCTGGAAGAACATGCAATGGTGTTCCACTCCATTGATTGATTGGAGCAGTGGCAAACCCACCCAGACCTCTCAATGGGAAGTGTGACCTTGTCATATTGTAGGAACCACATGGGATAGAAGATAAGGTGCAGCCATCTTTGGAAAATACAAAGTGTTCATTGAGGTCCACTGCTCATCAACACATAGTTCAGATGCTGCCTCTTCTAGGACAGTGGAAGGAAGTGAACTCAAGGCCAGGATCCTGACACGTGACACATCTCAATTCTACTATTAAGATTATAAGTGGGAACTCTCACATGGAGCTCCTTGCTAGATCCCTGAGGTAACCAGAATGGCCAAAGCTTCCTGAGAATTTATATTGTTGTCGATTAGACATTCTGAAAAGATTCAAATTGATATCAGGATGTCAATTATTCATGAATGAGAAAAAAAACAACCATTTGTTATTTGTGTGACACAGGCATTATGATTGGCTGGTCCTGAGTTAGTCCCCTCCATGGACTATGTTCTGCACACAGGCCATCACTGTCTAATCAGACAGTTGCCCAGCTCAGATTCTGGTTTTCTAGAATCTTACATCATACCTGGTATTGCTTATTGAAAAATAAACAAAAACAAAAAAATATACAAATGTATGTACAATGCAGAAATTAAAAGTCAAAAAGTATGTGTTTGGTATATTCTGCCTCAAAAGATAATCAAATATTCAAAAGTATTAAAATATTAGCTAATTATGTTATTTTCAGTCTTTAGCTCATTCTTACTTTTTCTGAATCATGTCTATCATCCTTTGCAGTTCCATCAATATTTTCTTTCTCAGACCAAAGTCTCTATCCACTCTAACTTAACAATCTTCCTCTTAACCTAATTAAAGATTCTTTAATTTCCTTCTGATCTCAAATTATCTCCATGCTCCAATATTTTCACTTTACAGTGAAGAAACTACTTAAAATTCTCAGAATATTTTTCTCTTAAATAAATTCCACTATCAGATTTCCAGCTAGAAAAACATTTCGTGTGTGCATTTCTGTTTTTGTAACTTACATGTTACAAAACAAAATTTGCCCAAGGATGTTAACCAATTTCAGCAAATGTAGACAATTTAATTTCAACGCAACATTCTAAAAACAAGTAGATTTCTAAAAATGATTTTACTCTTCTGCATTTTCTGAATTACTCCAGTGATGTTGGAGCTGGTGTTACTAATGACTACGATAAGAAATACAATATTAAGCATTTACTACTAGCTAAACACTTTCAGTGAATCATCTCTAATCTTGAAAACTGCTGTTCAGGGTAAATACTAGTCCCATTTCAAAGATGACAAAATCAAGGCTCTAAAAGATTGTCACTTGACCAAAGCCACCCCAATGTTACAGTGTGTGATCCTTGAATGGAACTGTATCCGCTGGTCTCAGAGCCTGTGCTCACACCAACTCCAGCCCATATCCTGAACTGGCCACATTTGAGTTAGATAAAATGTTGACAACTTTTAACAATATTAGTCTTAAATCTTCTGACCTCTTTTCTTTTGCATACTTCAGTAGAGAAATGAAAGGAGACAATGTCATGACTGTGAGTGGGAAGTAACTGGCTATCATCTTGTACACTATTATTTAGTGGTTCCCAGTCCAGAAATTATTTGTATAACAAGAAAAAATAGCAATTTCTTTAGAAATATAAATCCTAGCTGGGTGCAATGGCTCACTTCTATAATCCCAGCTATTTGGGAAGTGGAGATAAAAGGATCAAGGTTTAAGGCCAACCTGGCCAAAAAAAAGTTAGCAAGACCCTATCTCAAAGAACAAGCTAGGCATTATGGTATAATTCTATAATCCCAGCTTGTGGGAGGCATAAGTAGGAGGATCTCAGTCTGAGGCTAGCCCCAAACAAAAGCACAAGACCCTATCCCAAAAATAACTAAAATTAAAAGGCCTGGAGCCATGGTTCAACTGGTAGAGTGCTTGTCCAGTAAGCCTAAGACCCTGAGTTCAAGGCCCTGTACTGCAAAAAAAGAAAAGAAATGTGCAAAACTTTAGTATGGCTGGCACAGCCCTGGTATAGTGACCCAGCCTTGGTAGGCATGCACTGAAAACACCAGCTATGGGAGGCACTTAATGACACTTCCAGCTCATAAGTACTGCATCCCAGCACAGTTATTAAATGTGCCAGCTGCTGAGCTAAGCACACTATCTACATTAGTTCCTTTAAGCCCCATCCTTTTCTTGCTTCCAGGTGGTCAAAAAGGAAGCAAGGCACAGAAAGGCCAAGCAACTTGCCTGAAGTCTTCCTGCCAGTTATTAAGGTGGTTGAGAGTCCAATTCTGGTCTTTGATACCAAATACCACACTCATGACCAGTGTGTGAGGTGGGACCAGGAACGTGCTGGACGCTCAGTTGTGGCTCCTGCCAAGTCTCCATGGCTCTGCAGACCAGATGGGCATTTCTATTGCCTTTATGTTCTACAGTGATTTCAAGGTCCAAGTGTCCAATGGAACTCTCTCAGCAGCACTCCCAGACTGTAATTCTACGCTTGGAATAACTCCTGGGCAACAGGACAGGTCCAAATTCAGGAGCAAGCCCAGGACTCCTGTTGAAACAATGGCTTCCTGGAAGGCTGCATTCTGAGCAGACATGCATCAGCTTGCAGCCGGGAACACCTTGCTGGAAACCATTTGCCGTTTCCTAATGGCTTTTCTCCCTGAGCTGCATGCCTCCTCTTCTTTCCTTGCCAGAGTGTGCCCTCCTAATCCATTGCTGTCCGTGCCCTGTTAAATAATCATCGCTTTTCCTCCCCAGGGCCAGCTCCATTTCAGAAGAAATGCCAGTTGGTGCTTTAGAAATGTCAGGATTTCTACAAATCTCTTTTAGATCAGTGCTTTGAGGAGCCATCCATCTCGCAGTCACTAAGCCCCTTAGTGCTGACATTTATTCAGAAGTGTTATCCATGGGCCCTGGGCTCTAATTGGCTTCACTCCTCTGCACCGTGTCTGGGGGCAGCTGTCTGCTGAGTGCCGCAGCCCTCCTTCACACAGAAGGGGACTGCAAGGCTGGACAGTGAATGGTGCACAGTCCCCCACCCCCTGCAGCAAACCTCTCGGCCCCAGCCCTGTAAGAAGTGCATTTTCTTCAACAGCTTTCCTGAGGACACACTGGCAGGCATTAACCTTCGGTTCCTGTGTTCTTGTTATCGTTTCACAGGGATTGACTATCTCCACCCGGACCTGGCCTCCAATTATGTAAGTACAAGCTACTTTGTGGGTGCAGGGGGTGGAGAGGGAGAAGGTGAACGCATTCTTCTACATGTTCACCTCTTGGCTTTGAGGAGCACACTTGAGGGTCAACACACATACATGCATACACAGGAACAAGCATGCACGCACACAGGAAACACATAGGCACATGCATGCACACATCCACACAGGAACCCTCACACAGGCATATGCACACAAGAATGGGAACACACATACACTCACAGACACACAGAAGACTGCACACACTCAAATGCATGTGCATGCACACACACGTACTAGAACAGCCCATCCTATTAGAGCCACAGCTCAGGCCAGAGGTAAACTATATGGGGCCAGGCAGCAGGCAAAGGTGGTGGCTTTGTGAGAAGAAAAGAAACCTGAAGTTCGAAAGAACCTAGTGCCAAGAAACTAGGTCCAGGAGGGGCGGAGAAGAGAGTCACTTGGCAAGGCTTAAATCAACTCCAGGTGACAATACTGAAGTGAAGGGTGGAGAAGAGCCATTCAGGTTCTCGCTGGACAAAACTGAAGGCAAAAAGCCAAAAACTGCCGCAGCTCACATTACAACCATGGCTGTATGAAAGTAAGAACATTTCCTTTTCTGAACACTGGTGTTGCTATGACCACTTCACCCTGACATGTCCACAACACTGAACAACACATTTAGGATCCCTTGACAAACAAGGACTGGGAATCATAAGAAACACAGATGAGTTAGAACCACACACTCTAATTTTTGACCCAGTAGGTCATATGCCACTTCCCTGATGAAACATACAAGCCCTTCAAATGTAATCAATCCCTTTATTTTAACCCAAGACTACAATACTCAAGCATTAGTGTGTTCACTTAAAATTATCTCAACTATATACTTGCCCTATAACCTCCAGATCCAAGTATAAAATAATATTATCTTAATAGCAGAAGAGACTTCCACTTAGGAGAATAAGGGCCTAATAGCAGGAAGGTTGGTTAAAAGCAAAAGTGTTTGGGGTCAGCATTCTGGATCCTTTGCCCTGGAAGGTGTGTATATCTACACTGCAAAAAGGAAGTGGGATTTTCCCATGTGCTTGGTGCACTGGGCATCAGGAAACAGGGCAAGGATGTTGTTGTATTTGCTGCATGGGTCTTGTAACTCTAGAAGCATGGAATCAATCTGAGCATCTTTTTTAATACTAGAAAAATGTGAAATGAACCATTGGCACAATCCAGCCTTTTGCAGCCCCAGAGAGAAATGGCGAATGTTAAACCAAATCTCAGTCCCAGCGATGATAATCTGCTACCATAGAGGAAATGATAATAAACTAGCTGCCTGTAAGTTGCAGACTCAGCCCCACAGACCTGTGTGTGGTGTATAGAAAACCCTCCTCCTCTGTACCCATGGCCACCTGCCCCACTGCTAACATGCATGGAGCTGTCTACTCAGCTGTTCACTTGCTTTCTTCAAGAAATTGTCCTATCTCTTGACCTTGGCTTACTCCCCTAGTTCCTCTCCTTTTCTCTACATCCTCCAGAACTGTCTCTGAGGGGAGATTGAGAAATGTGTGCATTGCTTTTTCTCCAAGACTCAGCTATCCCAAGGCCTTTTCTCATAGAGGCATGATGGGGTACTGACTTGTAGGGTCAAACAGTCCAGCCTCAGAAGGCTGCCCTTCACTCGCAGAGGCATTGGTATTTTCCATTAATCCTTCCACCTCCAGGACCCCCAAAGCAGTCACATAGGGTTCTGCTCATTTCCCAAGCCAGTGTTGCTCCATCTTGCCATTGGGAGGACCCCCAAGGTGAGTTGGCTGTGCAACAGGTTTGAAAGTTCATGGCTCCTAGCCTCCCTACTACACACACAGTCCAGTCCCATGAAGGCCAAGGACACCCTGAATAACCTCCACACTCTTCACTTCTCCACACCCAGCCCAGGCACTTCCTGGCAGACTACTCCCTGTACCAGATGCCAGGTTAAAGAGATCCTAATTCACATGGGAAAGGACCTCCAGCACTCTGATGAGCTGCAGTACAATGTTAATAGATAGTGTGATCCATCTGCCAAAGCCTCACCTGAAACTGGAACATAAAGCATCCACAGGTCTCCCACATAATCAGAGTTTTGAGAGCTAAGCTCCTTTTGCATTATTTCTTTTCCAAAAATATTTTCCAAAGTAAAGAATTAGTACATGGTCTCTCTAGAGAATTTTAAAGGCATAAAACAGACTCAAAACTAGTCATGAATAATCTTAATATTTTGGACCTTCATTTCTATTATGTGTATTTTTCATGAATTTGGATTCTCATTGAGTGTGTAGTATTCCCCCTGGCCACTGTTCTATTATGGGCATTTGTGTATTATTATCCTTCAAGACATGATTTGAAGGGCTGTATAGCATTACCTCATGTGTGATTTATTTAAACATCCCAGTCCCCTATTGTTGGACAATTAAGGTGTTTCCAATGAGTATCTCACTCTATGAGGGAGCATGACAGACAGTGACATAAGATGCTACAGAGAGCTGAAGAACTGAGAAAATTTATTCTGGAAAAAAGAAATTAAAAGGCATGTTAGTATGTTTTTGAATGTTTTAAATTCTCCTGTGAGGTGAAGTATTCAACTTGTTCAATGATTTCTCCCAAAAAACATCCCACTAATGAGTGACAAATGCAGAAGAGAGAGATTTTTTAGTTCAGTTAAAGGGAGAAATGCCTTGGGATTAAGGCTAATTAATAAATGGATGTAATAAGTTCTCCATAGCTATGAAAATGTTCAAGAGGACGGTTGATAGGTGGGGATGTTGTTTGAGAAACAATGTCTACTCAACCCTTAACCCAGATGGCATCTAATAGTTGAATAGAAAATGTGATTTCTGTATAAAGATATACATCTTGGTGATTTCTATTCAGAGTAAGATCTGGGCCTTTAGTATTCATCAAGCAAATACGTCTACATTTATACATGGCTGTGCAAATTTCCTGCCTCTTTGCTATAGATGAAAAACTGCACATCCAAATACCTGATTTTTAATTCCTCCTCAGACAGCCCAAACAGACTGACATGTACCAGTCACAGTAGAGTGACTCTCGCCCTGTGTAGATTTGAGACTAAAGCTACTAACCACATTTATCTTCTTTATTTTTAATTAAAAATTTTATACTATCATCAACAGAATGAGAGTAGCAAGTAGAGTAGACCTGCCCAGGAGAGCAATGAAATCAATGGACAATGATAGGCTGGAAAATGGAGTAACTAAAGGATTGAGCAAGCAGCGTTACACCTTGTTAAGTGGCTTAATGGCTCACCTACCATGAGCTAGCCCAGTGCCCTTCTTGGAGGAAAGTACTCTGAGGAGGTCTTTCTTGGGGTTTCCCCAGAAGCAAGACCCTGAAACAAGCGTGTGACCAAAAGTAATTCCAGGAAACAGAGGTAGAGAAAGAGGGAGTGAGATAAAGTAGGGAAGGCAGCCAAATAACAGCACACTGTCAAACAAGTTAGCCCATGGGAATCCCACTAAGGAAATAGTATTAGAATATGTGCCAGATGGGGGAAAGATGACCCAAATAGTGTGTACACATATGAATAAATGTAAAAACAATGTTTAAAAATGAGATATAATAAAGAATGTGTGTGCCAAGGTGATCTCACCTGGCAGAGGATAGCTGGGGAAGCTGGGAAATTTATACCAACTCTAGCAGTCACTGGATGAGGGTTGGTCCCAGGGGATGTTGATGATGCAATTCTTCTTACCTCTAGCAAAGAGACATTTGTACAAGGTACAGGCAACTGACCTCACCAGGGACATGAGGTGGTCAGGCCAAAGGGGTATGTAGCAACAGCTGCCACACAGGGTATATTTTGGAAATCTCTTAAAGGTTGAAATAAACAGAAATGTTCTGTGTTGAGGGGAAAAAAAAATTCTTGTTACTGATTTATTTTCATTGAGAAGTGAAAATTCTACCCAGGGCTCTTCAAGAAAATTTCTTCATAATAAAACCAGGCAAAATGTTTCCCAAAGCAGAATTATTTTCAACGCTTGGTTATTCTGTATATTAAAAGAGAGGGGTCAGAGGATGCTGGGGGTTCAGTGATCTTTCCATTAAACTTAGAATTAAAATACTTTGAAAACTGCAAATCAGTATATAAATGCAAGTCATTAGTGTTTATCTAATTCAACAAATCTTCATTGAGACTGTAGAGTGTTAGGCACAAAGGATAATAACAGTCACTTGTATTATTACTCAATTGTTCTATGATTGAATTTAATCTCATGGATCTGGTCCCACTGGTAAATGCTCACCATTCCAAATAATTACTGTTCTTTTTTTCCACCCCAATAGTAATAACATGAAATGAGTATTGGCCAAGAGACTATTTTAGATCAGGTCAAAGTCAGAGCCTCCTTTACCCATCTTCTCTAGACAACAGCCTGAACGGTTTCTCTAGCTCATTACATGGTATAGTGAGCCTTCTATGTGCAAGCCTCAGATGGAGGGGAGAGGAAGAAGATGTAGGCCACTCAGAGGACCCAGGTGTGGAGATGTCTCTTACAGGTCGGGGGAAGGCTGATGGGAAGGTGGTTCATCTCTGTATTGTGTGGCCCCTGGTCCAGTGATGATTGTAAGCTTGTGTTCATGACACAGGCCTAGGCCTATGGATTGTGTTAAGTCTGTGAGATAGAGGGCTACTTCTTCAGAAATATGGGGAGTATGAATGAGGTGGCAGCTCTCAAAGGGTGGGGTGGGTGGGGCCAAGCATCTCTAGCTTTGCTTCAAAGACCTGCTTTGCTAAAGCCACAAAGGTGAAGACATGACTGGTGAGTATATAAAACTTGAGGAGAGTCTTCTCACTGCTTGTTGGGGTTTCCCAAGGGACAGACTGTGAGACAAGGATTGGAAAGTAAGTTCATCAGCTCTCTATATCTGTGGTTTCCCACTGAATATAGGCAGACTTTTTGTCATCATTCCCTAAATAATACCTTATAGCAATGGTTTACATAGCATTACAT